CCCGCCTGCGCGACTATTTTTCCAACCCGGGCAACTTCGAGCGGCAGAGCGGCACCCCGCCCGCAGGGGGAGCCCCGGGTCTCTGGCCAGTTGCTGGCGCGGCGCCGGGGGGAGCAGCAGCCGGCGGCAAGGAGCCCGTCCCCGGGCAGCTAAGTAAGTGCCTCTCGCTTATCACAGGGAAGAAGGGGAATGTGCCCTGCTAGGGTCTCTGCATGGCGAGTCTTCGTGGTGGAAGGAGTGCGAAGCTGGCCTGGAGCGAGAGGTGTCTGGTGGCCGAACCTCAGTGCGTCCTGCTGAGTTGGGGTGCTTGGAGTAGGCGGCCTGAGCGTATTGAGGAGCTGGTGTAGCCGTGGATATGAGGGGTGGGTGTTGTACAGCAGATACAGAGCGAGAGAGATGGAGCATGAGACGGGGAGGGAGAAAGGGCTGAAGTAAGGGGGATCATAGAGGATGCTAGTGATGTGCCTGTGGTAAAGGTTTGCTGTTGTTTTCTAGTGTCATGTCATTAGGACTCGTTGAAAATCTTTAGCAAATATTTGCTTAGAAGTTATCTTATGCAGAGCTGTGTGCGATTTAATTTTAATGCAGTCCTTGAACTATTCAGAGGGGTAATGGAGTTAGTCTATAACTGGAAAAACTCAAGAAACAACTAATAGTCTTTCAGCACCATAGAGACTAACAAAACATGTAGCTAATATCATGAGCTTTTATGGGCACAGCCCACTTCTTCAGATAAATGGAGTTATTAAAGGTCCAGTTATTTATTAAATGGGGGGGGAGGGGAGAAGGAAAAACATTAAAAAGGGGACAAAATGGCTCATTGTACCGTCTAAGTGGTTTGTTAGTCTCTAAGGTGCTGTAAGACTATTTGTTGTGTGTTAAGTCTTTCTTGTGTAGTGAGGTAGGCATTTCTACTTTATTTTTGACCCATTTGTTTGATTTTTTTTTTTTCCCCTTATCTGACTCACCAGTCATCACATGTTTATAGTTCCACTGGGAGTGAGCTTTCTTGGGGTGGAAATAGGAAGAAATATATTTCAGCTTACGACTGATGTGCCTAAAATCTATAATTTATAACATAATCTGTCAAAGTTGATTATGGTCAATGAATTGATCCTGATAACATTATTAGGGTATTCAGAATATGTTGTTTTAAGTTTCACGGGTATTAGCATTTTGAACCAGAGAGTATGATGCTAGCATGTTTAGAGAGCACTAATGTCCTGTCATGTCTTCAAAATGTTTTGGCAGAAAATGTGTGTCAGTGTTGGGTAGAGTTGGTTTTTTGGGAAGCTATCATAGATCTTCCTGTTTTTTAAGAGTCACTGACTGCGCTTAGTTATAGATGAACAGATAATTTCTCATTGAAATCAAAGTCATGTTCATATTATTTACATAAAATACTTGCCTGTTTTTCATTGAAACTCTAATGGCAAAGACATGGAGTGTAAAACAGAAATCTTGAGTTAGCTACAAGATTACATGAATTTTATAAGAAGAATTGGTTTAGTCTCGATTCCTTGCCTTTTTAATATATGGGTTATTGACATTTTTATATTAAATTGAAAGAATGAAAGTGTTTGTGGTTTATAGAAACTTGGATGGTATATACATATTCTACACAATATACAACATATCTACTTTGTGTGTAAGACGCTTCCCAAATAAAAGGGCACCTTCATGACCCATCTTCATAAATAACATAATAGGCACAAAGCCATGTTACAGATTTAAATTTTGGAAATGGTTTGAGATTTCATTTAATACCTTCAGCCATGCACAAATTAAATTTGTGAACTTGTAGCAGGGATGTGGTGCTTACTAGGTAACAGTTAGCCAGTACCTGAGATCAGCCCCTTGCCCTTGGGCAGAGGGCTGTTTCAGCATGGCCAGGCCGCAGCACAGGGCTGCTGACTCCTAGTCTGTGTCTGCCAGTAGTCTCCCTGCCGTGGGCCCCCTCCCTTAATCGGTTAACAGGTTAAATACAACATTAACCAATTAATTGATATTTTACATCCCTAGCTTGTACTACTATTTATCATAAGAAGTAGACTAATAGATGGTGTCTATCTAAAAGTATATCATTGCATCTTTGTATTATCACTTTTAATATTTTGAAATAGGGTATTATAATTTGTTTTCAAACAATAAAGGTTGAACCTCTCTAGTCCGACACCCTCGGGACCTGACCAGTACCACACCAGAGAATTTGTTGAATCACAGGAGGTTGAGATTGTCTGGCAGCATTGCCAATATTTCCAGTGGTTATTGGGCTCTTAGAGGACACTTAAGGATATATTAGAGCTAAATAACACCACAGAACACTGAGAATTAGGGCTTGTGGCTGTAAATAAACTTTGAGACTGCAGGAAACTTGGCCCATACCCATAAGTGGACATCTGGCTAACTAAAATCATGCTAGACAACAGATGTTGCAAAATAGTACATAATACTCCTTCACTCTGTCAAGCTGCAGATGCAACGAGAGTACATTAGGAATGGTAAAATTAAATCACGCACACAAACACAATAGCACTTACATTTTATTAAACTAAATATTAAATGCTACTTTGCAATTGCAGCAGGCTCCTGATTTTCTGGCTGATGACTGTCTTTAAACTTTCTTTTTCATTTTCTGGTTTTATTAACTCTGACAAGTCCTCAGAATGCTAACTGTACTTATTAGCATTGGTAAAACTGACTTATTTCTGAGATGCCCATGCAAGGCAGCAGCAACATTCTTAGAAGTTAGGCATCTACCTTTATAGCTGGGGTCAAGAATGCTCACAAGAAAATAAGGCAGAGTTAGTGTTTGGTACATTCTCTTTTTTTATTGCCTTCAACTTAAATTTAACTTTCTGGCGAGGTATTTTTCTTCAAAGTCTTTTGAAGCACTTTCCGAATTTCAACAGCAGCAGCAATTTCTCTGAAGTTTGTGTAGGCTATGGATAATAGGTTTCAGTGCATTGAGCATATCTTCTACAACACTCTTTAATCCAATTTCAGATACAGGCAGTCCCCGGGTTACGTACAAGATAGGGACTGTAGGTTTGTTCTTAAGTTGAATCTGTATGTAAGTCGGAACTGGCGTCCAGATTCAGCCGCTGCTGAAACTGATCAGCTTCAACAGTGGCTGAATCTGGGCGCCAGTTCTGACTTACATACAAATTCAACTTAAGAACCCCAGGCATCCCCAAGTCAGCTGCTGCTGAAACTGATCAGCGGCTGATTCCAGGAAGCCCGGGGCAGATCAACTCTGCCTCGGGCTTCCTGTAGTCAGCCGCTGGTCAGTTTCAGCCGCGGGTGGAACTGGGCGCCCAGTT